GTTAGCATTGAATGGGAAGTAATATTAGTAAGAAATGATACCAGAGTTAGAAACTAGCCTTTCATTCCTCTGTAGCCAAAGACGCCATGAACACCTGCCATTCCTATAGGTCCATCGGGCCCAGGTGGTCCTCTTGGTCCTTGGGGACAGGGGAAGCATTCATTTCTATTTTCACGCAGAACACTAACTTGAACTCCATTTGCACCTCTTAGACCAGGATTTCCATGTGGTCCGTGATCTGGAAAAAAACGGGTCTTTTATCCGGGATTCTGCTATAGACTCTAATGCGGCGTGAGTCGACCACATCTGAGAAAGCAAAAACTTTCAAACGCGATGGCTAACCGGGAACTCGTTCAGATTTTTCCAAAATGGTTTTGTTCACGTCACAGGAGCACGCGCATGGACCAAAGAAATAGATTTCTCTTTCCTAAGCAGCTATGGACCGCCAAAAAGGGAACTGAAACTTTTGCTCGGAAATTGAAATTTTTGCAGTGGTTTTACTGGGGCATCAGCCATGTATGCGCTTTTTTTGGAAGCTTGGAAGTTGCTGCCCTTACTTCTTGTAAAGGTATAGCAAGCGACCGAAATTGGACTTACCAACAGTATCGCGCTGCTATCCTTACGTGTACATCCTCAACAAAGGTGATATTGTACCCACAGGATTATTGAGTGGAATCACCACCAACAGCCTTACGTTTTGACTAAATCATCTCCTCTCAGAGGCGAATCATCCATCGATGGATCGTTACGACGCCACTTTTTGTTAGGACGAACTCGAAAGTAGACTTTGCGGTCGCAGTGGAGGCCGTTGTCAGCGATTGCAATTAATAATCCTGTGAATAAAAGAGAAATAACGAAAGTGTGCGTACCTCCGGGTTGACCAGGTACTCCAGGTGATCCGGGAGGACCAGCTGGACAGTCGAATTCGGCATACACTAAAGATAGAGATTGATGTTAGGATTTTGGCCCAAATCCTTCGTGCAGAGATTTCAAAAAAAAACTTTCTTAAAGGCAAGATTCAAGCTTAAACTGATGAGGTAATTCTACTCAAATGTGAGGGGGAGGGGACCGCCAGTGGAGAAAAAAGGAAAAAAATCGTGAAATACACAGGAAATACGAGCCTTTTGCTACGTTGCGGAGAAGTTCAAAAGGCCGGCAGGGAGATGAGAGATAATGTGAGCGCGGAGAGCGGTAGAGAAGTCCGAGAAGAGAGAGCATAGCAGATCAAGCATTGCGACGCAGACAAGATATCGAGCGGTGGGCGGAGCGTGTCGCAACAGGTGGAGCGTGTCAAAGTCCTTGGCCCCTAGCGCCTTAGTGACGCATTTGGATGCGGGAACTTGGCGAGTCGCCTGCAGCTGCGTCCATGCACTCTTCTAAGCACTTCAAGCTATTAGGATGGTCGAGGCCCAAAACTTCGCCTTTAAGTAAGTATTGCCCAAAACTACCTGTCGTCTATCATTTACTACAATCAAAGAAAGATTAAAAAAACAACTGACGGTCACAGTCGTAGCTTGATGTTCACCGAAACGAGCGACGAAGAAATGTCGATAACCATTGGAAAAATTTCCGACAAACGTCCGCACAACTGTTCTTTTGCTGTCATCCACGATACCCACGTTCACAGATCCGTTTCTGTTCAGAATCACTTCGAATAGCCTGGAAAACTGTCGAACATTTTGGATAGTTGTTCTGTTCTCTTGTCTCATTCTTCAACATCTAACTAACCGCTCATCGTTGAACAATACGGTGGCAAGTGTCTGATGAGTGGTTGACGGAGACGTTGGGGCGAAATGCGAATTGCAACTTCTGTGTGAGCTTCTGGGGTGTCAGGATATATCGCGACAAAAACCGCCCTAGATCGAATGTGAAGTGCGCATTTGAGGCAAGCGTGATGCCTTCATCTGTAAAAACCAATCATGGTTAAGTGATTAAGATTGGTTGATTGACTGGTCTTTCTATATGGAGTAATCTTACCAACTGTACAATGAGGTCCAGCATAACTCGTCCGTGAACAGTCACACGCAACTTTTCCCCCGACTCCGCGCCACGCCACCGAACAATGTCCGCCATTTCTGCAATCCAGTGCACTACATCCCACATCACAATCGGAACGGACAAGGGCTGAAGGAGGACGAGTTGCAGTGGAAATTGTTCAATTGAACAAAAAAGGACTCACATGGGTCGCTCGGTCGATAACCATGAGTTGTATGGCGCAAGTCCACCAGTTCCCCGCCGATTCGAACGCCTCTCATACAACCGAGCAGATTCGCTACGGCGCACTGGTATATCGGGCGGAGCAACATCGAGCCGTCTAAATGTGGGAAGATTTCAGACATCAGCAAACTTATTTTACGCTGCTCATCTTCAATAAAGAGAGGGTATCAGTTTATAGTAGAAAAGGCGACACGAACACGATGAACAATTCGATTGTTGGTAGAGTAATGAAGCCCCACCATCACTGAGCTTTCTGCCCTTCTTACTCTGCGCCACTAAAAGAACAGCGTCCCTCGCTTCCTCAACTTGTCTTTCATTACGCAGAATTATTACCATACATTATAATTAGGTGATGTCATATCTCTCCTCCAAGTGTGTGCTGTGCATACATATTTACCACCTACCCCCTTGCCCCTATAATGCAACAACTGACCAGTTGAATGGCTTTCTCTCTCGATGCCACCCAGGAACGTGTACAAAAACGGCTTCGGATCGGCTGGTGAGTTCAATCCCACGGGAATGATCACGATATCTGAAAATTTGCACCGAAGCAATACAATTTCTGATAAAGAGATGTGGTTATTGAAGAGTGAGACTATTGAACATTATTCAAGTCTGAGATGAACCTGTGAACACGTTGACGAACTTTTGTACAGGACGTTGGGCGAGTTTCCGTGGGGCATGGATTGAACACGCATCGTCGTTCACGGTGAGCGTTGAGGAGTCGGCCGAATGTTCGATTGTGATCCGAAATACAAGCCATACACCGTGTTTATTTGATCTGATTCTACTTTTTTAACAAGGTGAAGCAAACATAAATAATGAAAGAGCTAGAACTTTAAGTGAACCATATTTAACAAGATCCTCGGTAAGCGCCATGTCCTCGACATGCGCTAGTAATCAAAATGTAATTGAATGCGAGTTCTGATCAGAAAACAACATGGAGGCTTTTCTGATTGCTGTGACTCACCCA